CATATGAGGGTACATACAATGAGGCTACTTTTTTAATTGGTCTTATTTTATATTAATTCTTTTCTACCCAAACTTGAGTGATTTTAGCATCACCAGATCAGCACGGATCACTTCTAGTAACCGGCTCATGAAACGGATCCTATCCTGTAGCTGAGTACTAACTGGCACTTGTAGGAAACAGAACTTTGCCCCCCAAAATCAAGGTTTGTGCTTCCAAAAGGTGTTAGCGTGAAGCAGACCAAGAAGTCTGGAAAGCCCCTGGGAAGAAAAAAGTAATAACTGAGGAAGGAAGGAGACCCATGCCTATAGGTGTGAGTGGGGCAAAGGACGCAGGAGAGGGTGGGCTGAGCGGTCCAGGGAGAGAGGAGCTGGGGTCCTCCCAGGTTGCCTGGCGGTGGGACCCAGAGCACCGTATCTGGGCGTATGTTCCTTCTGTGGTTCACCACTGCAGCTGATGTTGGTTATTTGGGGCCTTAAACAACAGAGAGAAATATAGCAGCGACAGCAGCGGCATATCTGCTGAGTGCCGTCCGTGCACCAGGCGCTATGCTGAGCATGACAGCGATCCCACAGCAGCCTTCTGAGGTAGGACCCATTGTCACCCTCATTTCACAGCTAAGGAAACTGAGGCACAAAGAAACAAAGTAGCTAGTCTAACGTCTGTTACCATTAGGTCTGACTCTGAGTCTACACACCCCACCACCAAGCCTGGGTGTGTCTGCTAATTTACCCACTGATGAGAAAAGAATTTCCCAGAGACAATTAAAACATGATTTTTAACCATCAACCTGGCTAATATCTTCAAACTAACTGGTCAGCATTGCTAGAAGCCAACTTACATAAAAGAATAAATTAAAACAAAACAAGTAAAAGTGGGAGCACAGGGCTGGGAGGTGCTCAGAACAGATTAACACAGTCCCGGGGTGCATATACAGCCCCCAGATGCAGCAGTTAAAGACCCTCTGGCAATGACAGCAATGGCTTCCACTGGAGCATTCAGAGCTGTCCTGACTGTGGACTCCATGTCCAAGTCGTCAAGGGACTTCAGGAGCATAGAGGACAAATAAGTAGACCTGGGGGCAAGTGGGAGGACACGTGGGCTGCTCCCAGCCCACGGACCAGGCAACCCATGGTGCTGTTATTCCACTGGTTCCAACCAGCAAATGGAACAAATTGCACTCCAGGGGAGGTTGGCAGCACCCACATCTTTTAGGTAATGAAAGCCTCTCTAAAAGAATGGGAGAGAGAGCACCCTGCAGGCTCCCTAGCCCTGTCCTGGGCTCTCTGTCACTCCTGGGTGTGCTGTCTCCAATCTGTTCCCTTCTCTTCTGCCTAGACAGAGACTCCTCAAGTTCTGCCTCTTCTTGGCTGCCTTAATTACCTCTCCAAACCCTGCTTCTGCCTTCTGCACTGAATGGTTCTGGAAGATTATGCTATCCTAAGTTACCTGAGTTACCTCCTTCCGTTCACTATGCTGGGGCTACTCAGCCCCTGCCTGCACTCAGGAAGCCTTTCCCTCCATGCTCCCTTCCCTCTCTTTTGGTCAGCTCTTCAGTTTTTATGGCCAACGTCTCCCTCTTTCAGGCCACTCCCAAGCGTGCTGTGGAATCCCTCACTGGTCATCTTCCCTTTCCTCTCTAGTTCTTCCTGTCTAACCCCGTCTCTTGACTGTGGTTTCAGTTCATGATGCCATATCTACACCCCAATGTTTTCTCTAGATACGGACCCCAGACCCAGGTATTGCATTTCTCAGACTGTCCAGGGGGCTCTAACTGAATGACCCCCACAGGGATCTCAACAGAACTAATAATCATACTTCCAGAACCCAGTTCTCTCTGTCCATTTTCATTCTTAGTCATGTAACTCTTCTACCCAAGCTAGAAGCCTGTTACGTCATGTGTCCTGCTCCCCAGCTACTCTCCGCCCAAAAAAGGTCAGTGGGGAGTGCTCAAGCATCTGACTTGGACCCAGGCTCTCCTTTGGACACATTCTTCAGCCCACTGCAAATTATTCCATCCCAGCAGGTGCAGGGCTAAGGAGTCTCTGGCTTTTTAGCCAATGGTTATTCACCAGTTGCCACTGAAGTCTACCATCTGGCCATCTTTGCTGCCCCATACACTGACTGCCCTTCTTCACACACTGAAGCAGAGAGGAAAGTAACTCGATGGGGGCTCCAGCCTGAAAAAGACGGCTTCGGCTTCCTCTTAGTAGAATCCACCTCACTGCACCTTCGACATCACACAAGGCTCTTGGAAGGTCTGGAAAGTTGTTTCCTTCTCCTCACTGCATTCCATGGAGAACAAAGTAGATCTTCACTCCAAAGGAGGGCATAGCTAACAAGCTCGAATGACCTGACCTTGACTAAATGCCCCCCAGCCTTAACATGAGACAAAGCACCATTTGTACTTCATTTGTGGGCACATAGCTACTGGTCTGGAACTAAAATAACTGACCCCAGAATTTTCAGTTGGGCACACCACTTGACAACACTTTGCAAGGATGGTCTTGAGTTCAGGGGATGTCACTTAGATATTTTAACAAGACAGTGTGGATTGGCTGGGCAGGAGAAGAAATGGGGAGAATATCTGGCTTCAGACATAACAGCAACCTGCTGTCTCTCCTAGATCATTTTCTCTGCCCAGGAGAAAATGAAGTGCTGGAAACAGGACACTGGTGAGGGTGGTGGGGGTGAGCATGGAAGGCCAAAGTCATGTTCCTCTGTTCTTCTGCTAATTACTTAGTAAGAGAAAATTTACTGATGTTAAAACCCTGAACTCGAGGGGATGTTCTTTCCTGCATCCACTTGCTTCTTTCTCCAAATCCTCAGCATCTTTCATTTTAGAAACAGCTCTGGGTCAGTGGCATCAGTCTCCTGTGCGGCAGGGAAGACGCCGATATCCCTAAATTTAAAGGGGGTCATTCCAGGTGGTGTGGCAAGAACAGACTGGGGGACATGAAGTTACTGCAGACAGAACAGGCAAATCTGTCCCTCCTGTTTCATCCCACCAGCTCACACAGCAGGGCCCAGCCATAGTCACCGGACTGGGAACAGAACCTGCTGCCCCAGGTAGACCCGGCTTCCTAGGTTTACTTTCTCTACATGCTACTCCCA